GCTACCCCGAGGCAGGGGCGCATCACCTTTGGCGGAAAGCATGACTGCAGTGACTCCGAGCTTCCTATCTTGCTTGACATCCCCATCAACAAGCAGCTGTAGCTCATCGAGCTCGTTGTTGTCCCGCACTAAGACAACAGCAAGAATCTCACCATCAGACTCCAACTTCGCAGCGACATCTTCTACAGTCATTATGGCACCATTCCAATCTCCCTTCCTGAGCTGCCAGACTGGTTGCAGACCGTTAGACTTCACGATCTGAGCAGAACTGGGGTTACGCTCAGCTTGCTGATCGGCGGCTTTGGGCCCAGCGGTTGGCTTGTGTGCTGGTGCACTCACGTTCGCAGCATGGGCCTGCACTGCTCGGGCCGCTTCAGGCGAAGGCTTCATGTCGGCATTTTCAGGCGCAGGCGCCCGAGAGGCAACAGGAATGGCCGGCGGCGGGAAGAGCAGCTTCTTTTTCTTTTTCTTCTTCTTCTGTTCTTTCTTCTTCTTGCCTTTGCCATTGCCTTGTCCGGAGGGTGCTGGCAACAGCTGTGCAAAACTCTGAAGCAATGCATTGAGGTCACCACCCTCGGCGCCCGTGTTGAGGCGAGAAAACACGGTTTGCAACAGAGTCAACATCTGGACAACCTGCGCAAGCGTTTGAGCATTGAGACCCATGCCTACGTGGTTGTTGGAAGTGTCATCCTTCTGATCTCGCTTGCGAGCGGTGGTGCGAGATCCTCCTGCTCCATTGCCATTTGCAGTGTGGGCAAGTCTGTTGCGCACTTTGGCAGAAAGCGCCCATAAACAAGCCCTAACACACATGTCAGGACAGGCACAGCCGGAGACAAACCTATAACCAATCCCCGGCAAAGCAGACATGACACGGTTGACATCGGAACCTTTCGCTGCCGGCATACAAGCCGGCCCCGCAGCCACGAAGAAGTCGAGAAGCTTCAGGGCGTAGTTCCGAAGGCTGCTAAAGTAGCGCGCCGTTGTTGTTGTTGTTGTTGTTGTTGTTGTTGTTGTTGTTGTTGTTGTTGTTGTTGTTGTTGTTAACGAAAAAGACGACAGACTGAGACCAGGAAGGTTGTCTAGACGCCACCCGTCCGGCTGCAAAGCAGCTTAAAGAAGCTCCCAAGCGGGAGTCAAGAAAACGCCCATCGCCAGTGTGCACCACGAGTGCCTCCCATCAAGTGGCCCGACGCCGAAACGCCAGAACCCGCATCTTCTCCACGAACTTCACGTGCCAGGGCTGCGTAGCCCTCATCTGAGCGGCCACGGCAGCAGCCGCCCAAGCCCGCCTTTCCTTTGCCGCACGCACTGAAGCCACCACCACAGCTCTCACAGCATCCAATGCCTGGGTCGCCGCCGCATCGGCTCGTGCGTTGAGCGCACGGCACGCCACACCATCAAGCCAATCTGGCGGCGGCCCCCACAGAGGCTTCTTGCCGTGTGAAGGCACCCAGGCTACGTCCAGCAGGTGAACGGCGTCAGCAATGACGCGCCAAAGAGCCCAAGGATCACCGTTCTCACACGCCTTGCGGCCGCGCCGAAGACGCCCAGCAACTGCTTGATTGTCCACCAGCAAACGAATACTGCGCCCACATTGCAGGAGAGCCATGGCCAGCAGGTACACAGCGACCCGTTCGCCTTCTGCCGCCGTTTGCTCTGCCCCCAAGACCAAGCCGCCGAACTCACCATTTTCAAAAGCCACGCCCCAAGCAGCGCGCTGCCAAAACTCCGCCCCGCGAGCCAGTGCACAGCCACCGTCTGTAGCCACGTAGTGGACCTGCGTCGCGTCCAAGCCAGCCAAGTGCTGCACCAACTTGGCGACATCCGCCTCGTAGTCCGCCATATCCCAACGAGGAGCAGACGGCCCCAAAGGCAGCAGAAGCCGGCGCTCCAAAGCGGAGCGAAGTTCCAATGTCCAAGGAGCCGAAGAGCACTCGAAGGTGAGGTGGGAGCGCGTAGGCCCCCGTCTCCCGCAGTCGCAGACAAAGTCCGCAGCCGTGCCCCCCTTTTCCACCAAGTGGCGAGAGTCCGCCGCCGCACCCGCCATGACCCTAGCCTTGTAGCCGTCGACATGTCGGCCCGTTGTCAAGTGGTGCGCGAGGTCAAAGTCGCCAACGAAACCACCCTCTTGCTTGGTCTTGTTGTCCTTGAGCAAGAGCTTGCGGGCCCAAGCCAGCCGAAGTTGTCTGCGCAGCCCCTCCGCACTGATGGCCCCTGCGCGAAAGCACCCATGGCGGGTGGTCCAAGTGCCATCGTCGCCACGCTTCCAGTCCACCGCCCTAAAAGCCTCTGCCGTGAAGGTGGCCTCCGAGCTGTGACGTTGCAAGTGAAGGCGCCGATGTTCACGAAGCACAGCCGTCTCGGCACAGACGTACGCGGGGAGCAAATCCACGCCAACCACAGTCAGCCAGGCGAGGGCCGGCGAGCGCCCACGAGGGATGCCCCCCCCCCAAGCCGCCCGTTCGATAGCCGCCGTCCATGTAGCCAAAAGCTTCTTGGAGAACCTGAGCCAAGGCGCCGCCCACCCCGGGATGACCAGCTTCTTGAGGAGCACGCAGCGGAGGCTGCGGCTGCCGCCAAACTTCTGGATGCGCTTGCAACGCGCCATCAAGGTCGCCGCCACGCCAGCAGTAGCCACCGGAGCGGCACGGGTGGTATTGTAAGGGATGCCAAGCAATGTGAAGGTGACCTGAGGTATGCCAACGATGTCAGCAAGGCCCAGGAGGTCTTCGCGCACAGCCTGAGTGGTGGCAAAACTTTCCAGTTTCTCGGGGTGGAGGGTAAAGCCAAGCGCATCGTCGGCCACGGCGCCCGCCATCATGGCATCACGAACAGCACGTGCTGCTCCCCAACGTTTGCGAACCCACATTGTGCGGTCGTCGATGTAGATGGCCAGCTGCACGCCGGTGTTGGCCCTCTGCACAGTCGCCGCCCAGACCACCATCATGGCGCCGAGACAGAGTGGCGAAACTGGGCACCCTTGTAGCAGGGAGCCGCAAGCGCGAAGAGGACGCCGACACGTGGCCCCGTCCACCATGATCCAGCGCTCCTGCTGGTCATAGAACCTCCCCATCACATCGAGCAATGGCGCCGGCGCACCCATCTGGCGCAAGCACTGAAGAGCCAGGCCCGGAGAGGCGCTGTCGAAGCATCTTCTCACGTCCGCTTTGCATCCCGCCAAAGGACCACCGCCACGCTGCACGTACATCGCCTGCGTGAGCTCTGCATGCACATCGTCGGCGCTCCGGTCGGGCAAGCCGCCATAGAGCTCCTTGGGGAAAACTTGCCGTATCCATTCACCCAGCTGCTGCACCAAACAGGCCGCGCCCAGCCGCCAAGCGAGCGAGGCAATGGCCAAAGGACGAGAGCCACCATCGCCTTTCGGAATGAGGCAAATCCGCACTTGAGTCCACGCCTGAGGGATGGGAGCCCCCCCAAGCACGGCGTTCCACACAGCAGCCAGCAGGTCGAAGAAGTCTTCAGAGAGCAGGCGCCAGTGCCGACCCGCCCAGCCATCGCAACCAGGAGCCTTACGTGCAGTGGCCTTCGCCCGCCGCAGCAAAGCGTGGCCCTCCAAGCGAAGGGAAGGGGCCTGCGCAGCCGTGATGTCGAGCTCGCCAAGAAGCCGATGGAGAGCAGCACCATCAGGACGCCGAAGCCTGTTCCACCTGTCACCCCAAACCACTGCCGCAGCTTCGGCCTTTGCCTGGGGGTCCGGGTCCTCCGCAAAGTCCTCAAAAGCAGTCGGCCTCTCAACAGCAGAAGCCTTCACCCATCTTGCCAGCCTAGGGAGGTCCGTCTGAACATCCGTAGCCCACTTATCAAGACGCGCACGGTTTGCCCTTGCCTCCTCTTCCGCCGCCTTTTCAAGCAAGAAAGCAAGGAGCGCAGAGCCACGAAGTTGTACCACCTGGCCCAGGTCCGGGAACACGTCCGCCAGGTGCTGCAGGTACTTCAAGAGTTTAGAGCTCCCATCAGGTGGAGCACTGCCTTCCAACACTGCCTTTGCACGCCGCGCAGCCCTGCGAAGCTTCCTTTCGCGCAGGGTCTGCACAGAAGGGGTTTTACCCGCGTGGGCCTCAGTGAGCAGCGGCTTGCCGGGGACCCCGCGGGGCTTAGCGGGCCGCGCACCGTCCTGCGCCAAGGCTGCCTCAGCAGCGCCTGAAAGCAAGCGCCACGCAGTCTCTGTGTCGTTCTCGTCAAGGGCCACCTTAAAGGAAGCGTCCAAGCTGTGCCAGTGCGCCTGCCAGTCAACGTTCTTTTTGTCCTCATCAAGCCGAAGCTGAGGTTGCCAACGCCAGCCACGCCGGCCACTGAGCAAGTGCACATCGTAGGTGACAAGGTCATGGTCAGCCGGGCCGAGATGCTGCGCTCGACCGTCCACCGCCAAGCGCGTCGAGGAGAGCCCGAAGTCGATGAGCCTGCCAGTGTAGTCGCCGTTTTCGAGTCTGTGCGTGCCCTTGCCCTCCAGGAACGGGTCGGGGTCCATGGCATACACAAGGCCACCCGCCAAGAAACCGCACAGAGGCTGCTGGTTGGGCGTCCGGTTCCAATCCGCCAAGAAAACGAAGTCCTCGCCAGAGGTTGTGGCCCAGCGAAGCACGGTGGAGGCGATGTGCTGGTTGAGCTGGTCATCAGCAGCAGGGAGGTAGCCGTTAATGACCAAGAGAGGCCGCTGAGCAGGGCGGTGCGCCTTCACAGCCATGACGCGAGTGGGGAAAGCGGCAGCAACCGGCACCTCGAGAACTTCCACAGGCCAGTCAGTGATGACTGCAACACCACCAGAAGCCTTGCCAGCCGAGTCAACAGCCAAGGGGCCAGGTAAGAGTTTCCACCCTTTGGCCCGAAAGGCTTGGCGCATCGCATGCAACCCCTCCTGCGTGAGCTTGGTCTCCTGCAAGCAGAGCAAGTTGACACCGGCATTTGCAGCTAAGTCCATGACCGCCCCCATCTTGCCAGTGAGGGAGCGGACGTTGCAAGTTCCCACCCGAAGAGAAGACTTAGGCATGGTACCCAAGCCCCCGCGCGAGCTCGGTGGTCGCAGCCTGGTCCGAGCCATTCCCGTCCGTCTCGCCAAGGATGCCGAGGATGCTTGTCACAGCCTTCGCCTGGGTGCCGCCCTCCTTGACGACCTTGCGGAGCGCACGGATCTTGCCAGTGGTGACGCGGCGTCGAGCGGGGTAGCAGTCTTTGTCCTCGGCGTCACGAAGCCGCTTCCAACCACCACCGCAGCCACCACACACGAAGCGGATCTCGAAGTCGCGTCCACCCAAAGGCCACGCCACCGCGTTGAGGTCGTGCTTAGCGACGGGGCCCCCAGCGTCGGTATCCTCAGCGAAGAGCTCGAGCAGGTACTTGACATCGCGCTGGACGTCGTCATCAAGCTCAGCCTCCTCCAGCGCAGTTCGCAGCCGTGCTATCAACGCGGGCCGTCTAGCCCCCGCAGTGTGCGGCTTGCACGGCTTGTTCCCAATGCCTGCCACAGTGTTGGCCAGTCGCTTGCACCGCCGGCACGCAACCCAAGTCATCGCCCGGCGCTGCTTGCGCTTCTTGCCCCCAGCAGTTTTCCCCCCACTTGTCGCAGGCGGCAACTTGAGGAAGGTGACGTCGTGGTCGCCAGCCTCACCCGCACGAAGCTGGTGCAGCCGCTTGGCAACACCTGCAGAGAGCTTGGCCGTAGTAGCCTTGTTCGCCCCCTCCTTGGTGCCCTTGGCGAGCAGAAAGAGCGCCTTGGGCTTGTCCGGATGGTCGGTGGCCCAGTGGTAGCGCCGAGCACGAAGTCGAGCGTCCGAGTCCGCCTCAGTGGCCGGCAGGCCCAGCCCACATCCCTCAACCGGGCAGCGCCAAACGCAGGTGTCAGGATTGAAGGGAACCAAGCACACGCGGTTGGTCCTCAAGTTCAGCTCAGCCTTGAGGTCCGGGTGGAAGTTGTCGATGTGCCTTTGCTTCTTTTGAACCCACCACTTGACTTTGCCTGTTTTCCAAAAGCACTCCGGGCAAGTCCAGCCCGACAAGGTCCGCCGCCTCGTTGGCGCCGGCTCAGCAGCATTTTCTCCATGGAACCCCGCCAAATCGGCCTCGTCGAAGTCAAGGTTGTCGGTCGTGCCCCTCGTTGTGGCCCCAGTCACGGCCTCAGAGCCCGCACGCCTTCCAGCCAGAAGCCACTTGCGGATGTCGCCAGACGAAGAGTCAGCCGCGCTGTTGCCACGTCGCCCGCCAGAGCAGGTGGTGAAGACGGTCTTCGCATCCTCGTTCGCCACATCTGTGCCGCCTTCCCGGCGAGTGAAGACCGTGGCCTCAGACTTGTCGTCGAAGTCCACGTCGTAAGCTGAGCCCCCGCGTGGGAAAGAGCCCGGCTGGGAGCTGCTGCTGCCACGCTTCCTGCCTGACTGGGCTGCTCCAACACGAGTGAAGGCCGTGACATCGGTGAAGACAGTGTGCTCGGACCCGGCGGAGTCGTCTCGTCCTCCCCCGCGTGGTCCCTGTCCTGGCTTACCCTGTTCGGCATTCTCAGCGATGTCCCGCGGCAGGCCGTCCCCAGTGCTTGGCGCCAGCCAGTCAAAGTGCCCAGGGCCCTCGGTATGCCAAAGTGCGATCGTATCGCGCGCCCCCGCGTTGTAAATCGCGGTGGCCTGGTCGGCGGCGGCCGGCACGACAAGGACCGCGACCTTGTACGCCTTCGAGGCCGCATAAGCTTCGAGGCTTCCCGCCCACTTGGCATTCAGGCCCATGTGTTGGATGTACTCATCGAAAAACTCGAGCTCTTGTCCAGCACTGTCGCACTTGTCCCAGTACTCTTCATACACCTGGATGTGCTTCCTCATGTGAGCACAGATCTCAGCTCTGGTTCTACTTGCCGGCATCTCCGGCTCCTTGCGCAAACGAGCAACCGCCTTGCCGATGACAGTGAAGAAACAGTTGCCATCGGCCTCGACAGTGGTGAGCGTGGTACCATTCGGGATCTGGCGCTTCTTTGCAACCGCGGCTTTCTTGAGAGGGTTGCCATCACCATCAGACTTGCCCGGCTTTGGCTCCGGCTTGTTGGCATTCTCAGGCTGGCCCTTGCTCAAGGAGAAGCCCCGATGGTCGGCGATAGGCCGTGCCTCTCGAACGGGCCCGGGACGTGTCAGCATAGTCCAGTAAGTGGCAGTGTGCTCGCCCTCCTTAACCAACAGCTGGTAGCAGTCAGCATTGTCAGCAATTCGTGCTCGCAGCAACCAGTTCGCCCGTCCTCTGCGCATTGTCTTTCGCAAAACAGTGACCTCCTTCAAGTCCGTTTGCTCGATGAGAAGCTCGCGGATGAGCTCGTCACTCCAAGCAGCCGGGGTGCCATTGACTGCAAAAAAAACGCATGGATCCCGAAGAAGCCGAAGTGCCCAGGGGAACCCGGACTCCTATCTGCCGCTTCCCAAGGAAAGCACCAAACTGCGGGGCCATGTCGAGCGCACGCTCCAACACGGACTGCAGAGTCTCCTCCTCAGCTTTGTCCAGCCATTGCACAGCACACTTGACCGTATCAGTGCGCCCAGTGGGTTCCAAGAACACTCCACCTTTGCCCGACAATGCGAGCACCTGCTCAGCCAAAGAGATGGGCAGGCGTATCAGCCCAATCACAGCAGGCTGTCCCAACCGGGACTCTTGGGCGAATGCCCACGCGTCCTTGATGAACCCAGTGGTCTCCTTAGTCTGCGTGGCCTTGCCCCACTTCTGCACCGCCGCCTTTGGAGTAGAAGTGACCTTTGCCCACACCTCCTTGTCAACGAAAGGCCGGGCAAAGACAATGCGGAAAACCGTGGTGGTAGGGTCGGTCGGGACCACCTTGGCAGTCGTGGGCTCCCGCTTCAAGGTAGGCAAAGGGGTGCCAGCAGTAGTGTAGTCGTGGGATGAGAAAGACTCAAGCCTTGTGACCCCACCAACGTCTACAGGTAGCCGATGCTTCCCGTCCTTGTCGCGCCACAGCATGCGCGCCGAGCACGTTGAACCGGCATTCATCATCATCTGTGAGAGTGCATCCGCCTGCTCTGCATCCTTCACGGTGACCAGCACGGAGCCCCCCAAGCTGTTGAGACGAGTGCACGCCGCCGGATAGCCGACTATCTCAGAGTTCCAGTCACATGCACGGAGGAGAGGCAGCGCCGAGTCCTTGGTCTTAGCTGCATCATCCTTGCCCTTGCCGGTAGTGCCTGCCGCGGATGGAGAAGTGGACGGATCAGCTGCAGGTTTGCCCTTTCCTCGCCCTTTCTGAGGTGGGGGCGCAGGGCCTTGCACGTCCCCAGTTGGCGCCGGCTTCGATTTGCGCCTGACAGGCTTAAAAGAGCCTTCCGCCTCATAGGTCTGTATCTCCGGCTCCTCAGCAAACACAGCGCGCCTTGGGGGACAGGGCGGCACATCGTCTGCATCGTCGTCGTCATCTTTGAGCACCGCCAAGAGAGCTGAGACTCCCGCAATCTGCATGGAAACCGAAGGGTCCTCACCAGCAAACTGCCTCAAGATGGTGCAGAGAAGCTCAATGATGGCGATCAGAGCTCCCTGCGTCTTTCTTTCCCGCCTTTTGTGCTCGGTAGCTGTTGCAGCAGGGCCCGGATTAGCGGCCTCGCCTACTCTGACACCCAGCAAGCCAGCTCGCCACCTGGGGCGGCTGGTAACAAAAGTCTCGCAAATCCCGGCTCCTGAGGTGACAATGGGAACCTCGCAAAAGTTGCAAAGGGAGTCCAAGAGCCCTACCCCCTTGGCATGGAGGAAGAGGTAGGAAGCCGACTCCGCAGAGGTCAATGGCGCTGACGGCTTACACCACTGCGCCTGCACAAGCACACCGACCTCATCATCTGCAACAGCGCTCCCAAAGTGTTGCATCATACTGCCCGGAAAATCAAATGCCATCGAAGGGGAAACCCTTGGCGTAAATAAAGCAAGACCAGTCAAATCGCCACCCATCTCGAAAAGCCCATTCGAAACTTCAGCTCCTGGCGCTGGGCCCATCACAAGTAGAAGCCAATACATGCCTCTCCATCCCAGCAGCTTGGGAGTTGCCACTGGAACCCGTAGCGAGCTCTTCGCAGGACACTGCTTCTGCTCAGTGTCCCCCGCAGCAGCCGAGGGGCCCAGGCGCCCCAGGAGGCGGCTCGCGATGCTGCTAAAGTAGCGCGCCGACCACAAAACTGTAAGGTGTTGCGAGCTTTCCAAAAAGGCTGCCAGACCAAGAATTCCTTTGTCCTTCAGATCTGGATCATCTTGTGCAATGCAGAGCTTGTCAAGGAAGACCACAAGCGGTCTTCTCAAGAGGGTTCGGATGCGTTGCCAGAAGAAGAAGAACCACAGGAAGACCAGGTAGACACAGAAGCTATTCAAATGAATCTCAACGCCATCCCCATACTTGGGGGCAGTGTCCTTAGTGGAGCATGTCATGGGCCCAGATGCGTCTGAGTCTATGCTGAGTTCAAAACTTTGTTCAAAGTTCAGCAAAGTGTCAGTTGGTCTACATAGGCCAAGAACCAACGAGCACATCAGAGTTGCTACCATCGCCGCCCGGGAGTTGAAAATAAACAACATGGTGCAGAGCTTCAACCATCGAGACGTGGCCCAGTCATGGCTCAAGAAATGGTCGTACTTAGTTGTCTTGAAGCTCAACTCAAAGTCTGCCTTGCCCGATGAATTGCTGGCCCAATGCTTGCCCATTCCACTTAGGCCTTCACTTAGCGTCACAGCCCTCAACAGCTCCTCTTCGAGGTCTGTACGAAGCTGCGGGCCCTCATCACTCAAGGTCCCAGACTTCCGCGTTTTGGGCCGCTTGGGCGGAGGATCCCCGGGCCTGAGGTCCACCTGCACGGCACTTTCAGAAGGCAGGGACCATGTCTCAGGGTCAGTGGCCACCATGAAATGCGACATGGCTCAAAAGGCTTCGGCCACTGAGCAGCAGTGCAAAACGAATAACAACAGCAACTTTGAGCCTCTGAGTCACGCCAGGAAATCAGTCAGCTCATGATCAAAGGCTTGGGCTTTCCAAGGGAAGAAAATGCAAGCATAGGAGGTGCACTAAACAAGGCTTTCCTGGGGCAAAATAAGGAGTGGGAGCGGCAGTTGCCTGCACCCTTAATTCGCACGAAACGCAGGAAACACGCCAGCATCTGGAAAACAGGATCCCGGCTGGGAAACAGGATCATGGCCGGAAAATAGGATCTGGGAAACAGGATCTGGGAAACAGGATGCTCCAATGAACTATGACTCCTTCATGACAAACCAAACCACAATGTCCTGGGTAGGTAAGTGTAACTAGGAGTTTCGGCGAGTGTATATTTCGGCTGACATCGTGGAGAAACTAGGAATTAAACAAACTGTCGTACTGGCTCAACCCGAAGCTCCCACCCCCTAAATCGCAAACCCAAAAACCATCGCATGCAGATGTCTCCTGGCATGTATCAGCTCTGATGGTCATGTTCGTGCCAGCCAGAAACCAGACTCTGTAGACGCAAGTACTTAGTATTTCAAGGGTTCTACCCAATACTTAAAGGGTTATCACCTATGATTTGCCATGTTGGGCTACAACGTTTCAAAAAAAAAATGGGTGGTCCGCAATCAGCATCCTACTATTGGTTAGTGGATACCATTTCCATTTTTTAACCATGCACCACCCCCTAGCACCCAAACCATAACAACCTATACCTCAACCCTAACCTCACAAAAATACCCATAGTAAGACCCACATGATGGAACCACCAGAAGAAACCGTACACGACCCCATAGAAAAACCCCAACCTCAAACCCATAGACCAATACCCCCATAGAAAAAAAATAAACATATTTCCCAACCCGAAATCCCTAACCCTAGAAAATGGAAATGGTATCCGCTAATAATCCATAATAGGAATAAGGTTTAAGAATAAGGTAGGAATAAGAAACAATAATAATATTATTTCAACAAAATGATATTATGATTGGTTTTGTAGTTAGGCTTGACTAGTTCGCTGTATTCTTCTTCAATGTCCTGAATACTTTTATTCAACCCCTTAACAGCATTTTTTGGCTTCACATCTAAATTTTTAGTGTGTTTGATTCCCCCACATTGACAAAGTATTTCAATATGTTCAATTAAATCCGACTATTGTTTTATTAACTTTTTACCTTCTGAGATGTTACCTTCTAAAATAGATATATCGTGCCTAACATTCAAGACATCTTCTTGGTCAAAAACATTTTCGTAAACTTTAAGCAACTTACATAACTCCTTAATTTTATTTAAGCAATCTATTTCATGTAATTTCATTTCATATATCTTCTTGATATACTTTGCTTGTATTTTATATGATGTATTTAAATCTGTATAATCCATTTTCCTCTCAATATATATAGTTTCTATTTCTTTAAGTTTTTTCTTCAGAAATTCTGTTTTTAAGACCTATCAACAGGAATTTCAATAATTATTCTGTCCTTGTGCTTGCCAAATAGCATAAAATAGTCTTCTAAAAATTCATCATTCATCAGCAACTGATGGACATGATTAAACACTTTATCAATATCGGGTTTAGGTTTCTCAGGATCGGATTTAGGTTTCTCGGGTTCCTCTTCATCAACAATTTATTAGGGAACTGTTCGTTTAATCGTTTGCGTATTTCCCTTTTCTGCTTTGAATATTCTGCCTTAATCTCTGCTTGTAATTCGTCGTTTAGTTTGCCTTCTTTCCTTAAATTGCCTAATTTTGCGAAATGACCTTTCATCAATATATTTAGTTCCGGGTTCGGATGTAATGCATAATGGAAATGGGCATCCCACTTTTCGCGTTTTATTTTGCGCCCGCATTCTTCACATAATTGGCTCCCTTTTGCTCTCTCTCTTCTCTTCTCGCTTGGTAATATTCCTTCTGGTTTTTCTTGTAGCATTTTCTGTTCGCTTCACGGCACCTATTACAGGTCTTAAAGCCGTCAAACTCTTCAACATCTGTAGTCGCACAACACGACTTACACACTCGTTTCTCCATCCTTCTATATTAAAAAAGTCTAGTCTTTAGACACGGTTAGAATGAAACAACTCTCTAATGATTTGAATTCTTGAATTAAATCATTAGAACATTGTATGGGGACTATCGGGGTTTCTTCGCCTTCTTCCAAAAGCACGAAACAAACTAGTTAGACCATTACCACATTCTGTTGATGCGCTTATGGAAGCACACGGGGCACTGGCACAAACAACAGTTTAGATTGAGAATATTAATTGAGATACAATATTATCCTTCGTCTTGCTCGAATGATTTAAAATATTCTTGGTGCTTGTTGCTTCTTTCGTGTCTTCGTTTGTTGGCATAAGTAAAAAAGCATCACCACATTCACAATTATATTTTGCTATTTCGCGCTTTTCGGTGTTCATCTATGTTGTTCTGATAATGTTGTTTTTTTGCTACGATTTCCTCCCTGTCTTGTTGATACTTTACCTTTTTCTCGCTACATATATAGTCTGTCTCGGTTTTCATAGCGCCAATTAGGCTTGTATTCCTTGTGTTCTTCCTCAGTTCTAATGGGTTGTTTCTGATTTAACGACGCTTTTAGTTTCTCAATCAGGCATCTTTCATTTCGTTTCGCTTCTAGCAAGTTTCACATTCTTTTGTTTCTATGAACATCATATCCCAGTTTTCCACCATTTTGAAGCTGGCGATTCTTTTTTTTGAAATGGTCGCCTCTTTACTGCGTCAGCAGCCCAATAGGCCAATCTTGTGTGGACAATCCATTCAGGGTGAGACAGACATCTACTTGGAGAGTCCAACTGTACAAGCTAGCGAGCGTAAAAGAAGTCGTGACTACAAAGAAGCAACCGCCAGCGCAGAGGCCCTTATTGCAAGATAACTTCACGCAAGGCCAGCGAGGTGACCAATAAAAAGAACCCACCGGCACCAATCACTAAGCTGCCCGTCACCCATAGCATGTGGCCCCCGCGTTACACATGCAGCCAGGCGCCGAGTCCACAGGCTGCTGCGAGGATGATTAAAGGGCCAAAACTTCTGGTGAGCAAGGATGTGGCGCGTGCAAAACCGCCGTCGAGCACGCGGCGGTGATGACCATCAAAAACCTGGAGGTGTTCAAAGAGCATCATGTCCATGACTGTGGATTGCCTGTCAACGGTGAGCATTTGCACTCTCATGGGCATTCCAAAGCCAAGATGTGCATCGGTCTTGCTCAGTCTGAAGTGCTTCTTGAATTTGTACCACCATGGAGTATTGGAACAACGGAGCCGATTCGAGAACCGGAATCGCGTGACCAAAAAGTGAGAGGCAGTCTCCGAACTTGCTGCTTTTCCAACTTTGTTTTGTCTGCCTGTTGATGGAAACCCACCTGCATTTTTTCTGCTCAGTGTCAGGATTTCTGGCCACGAAAGAATAGCCGAAATCTCAGGCGGCCAGAATGTGCACTAAGACGCAGGAGCGAAGCGTGCCTTCTGGCTTCGTCCCTTTTTTTTGAGCGGGCGCCTCTTTACTACATCAGTAGCACAGTAGGCCGTTTTTGTGGGTCTCGCAACTAGGTGTGAAACATATCGCCGTGAGAAGCAAGAAGAAAAAGAAAGCAATACCCAGAAGCAACAACAAACAGGAAAGGAACCAACCAAACCCAGAAGGGGCGGCGTGCCAACTACTAAGACTCCACGCGCTCAGTACCCAAGCTCGTCGATGTAGTCCCTGTTCGGGGCCGATGCAGCACCAAGTCGAGCGCGGGAATCGCAAAATGCGATTGTGTGCCAGAAGTCAAAATCACCATCACGTGATGTCTAAGTAGTTGAGTGCCAGTAGATAGGATGTCTGCATGCTCGAAGTGGTTGTGGCAGACATTCCAAGGACGGACGGGCTATTCAAAATGCGAGCAAGGTTCGGGGGGGGGGGGGTTCGAATTTTTTTCCGAGTTGAGCGAACAAATGCGATCCACCGTCTTGGTCTTTGGGTTGTGAAAACCGTGCCTCTGTACTGGCACTACTGATGGCCCTCTTGGCCCTAATGTACAGGGGAGGAAACCACCTCCTCCTAAGCTACCATCCTCTTTGGGATGCTACCAGAGGTTGTACCTCATGAGAGGAATGAAACCTCCTGGCAAAAGCTCCTCAGGTTGCTGGTGCAGGGGTTTGCAACCGTGAGAGAAGGGTCCTCTTCGGGATGCTACCAGAGGTTGGTACCTCAAGAGAGGTTAGGAACCTCCTGACAAAAGGTCCCTCAAGGCCTTTGGTGCACGTTGTGCAGGCTGTCAGAGGGAGGCGGTCAGGGTTGCGCTCCGGTAGCGAGGATGGTACCTCTGTGCTGTCCTCGCTGGGAGGATGCAACCTCCTAGGCTGCTTCAGCTGGTGGTTCCCTGAGTGGGACCAACTCGCCTTGGACCTCATAGGAGGCTACCTCCCTCGGCTGCTGGCCTGGTCCCCGTGTTCAGGTGGGCTCCTGGGCCGGCTCTACCACAGGGGCAGGCTCGGCGCTGGTTTCGGAGGTATTTCTCCTCAGCTCTGGGCCTGTTCCCAGTTTCGGGAGGCCCCCCTCACCAGCTGGAGGACCACCCTCCGGACCAATGCTCGTCCCCCCATTGCTGCCATCCTTCCCATTCTTCGTGCCCCCAGGCAGGGTTGGCAGCACGATTGGCTGGCGGTGGCCTGGGTGGGATCCTTTGGGCCGCCTCGGAAACAGCCTGTTGCCTTTGGGCCCTGGCTTTCTTAACCGGCCGGTTTCTTTGTCTTTGCAGGGTGTAGTCATCTACGTACCTTTGCGCCGGGATCCTTCCAGCAGGAACTCTCCCTTGCCGTGGGCATTTCCGGGCTGCCTGTTTGGAGGTTCCCTTTCTGCTCTCCCAAGCCTTTGCCTCCGGAGGCTGCCCCTCCCCTGCCGGTGTCGTGGTGGGCGGTTCCTGGTTGTTTTCCTCCTTCGCCTCGGC